TAAGGAAGGGGAAGGGGCCGGTGGTTCCGCTGGTGCGGTGTGGGGGCAGCGGGAGCCTCAGAGCCGCCTGTGAGAAGGGGTCACGGGGGCACAGCGACAGGGGCTGGGTTGTGAGGCCTCCTGCAGCTCTGCTGGAGAGATTCCATGGACGGCTGTGGGCAAAAAGGTCCTTTAACCGTGATGAAGTGACTTTTAACTTGGAGATAATGCTCCTGTAGTGTTACATTATACCAAGTAAAGACTTCAGTGTGTGCTGCACCTGTGTGCCCGAACAAGTGTCCCTTGAACAGGGAGTAACTTATCTTGTAACCAGACCTGGGCCGGCACTTACGCACAGCGGCTTTCTGTGAGCACACTGCTCAGTGTTCACAGGCCCTTGGGGTCAAGACTCTCTTCTTAAGCAGTGAAATCTGCAGCTCATGTGATGCTTTTCAGATTTCTGTGATGCTTTTCCTATTTTTCCTTTTGGAGCTGTTATACAAATGAACAAGGAACAGCATACTTTCAGTTTTTAATACTAACTATAGTTGTTCTCTAGAAGACTATGAAGCAAAAGTCAAAAGTGGACCTTACTATCATCATGTATCACATCTTAGGTATACTGTGCAGTACTTGCAGAAAATAATGTCTGGTTGTAAGTGAACTTAAGAAATTACGTCCGTCTTATTTTAAAAGCTAAATTCTTGGAAGTGAGTAGGCTTGGATGTATGAGGAACAAATAGTGTGCAATGACTCTTTCAAGAATTATATTTTCATGCTGCGTAATTCGGGTGATGCTTTTTGATTCCTCATGTATTTTACTGACATGTGATGTTTTCCTGTCCTGTGGTAGGTTTTACTGGATACACAAAATCGGTATTAGAAAACAATGTCCCTTGACTTTGATAGTGCAGCTCTACAAACCCAACATGAAGATGAAGACTATGACCAGGAAGATTATGCAAGAGAACAAGAGGTGAAAAAGAATTAAGTAATTTAATCTGAAGGCTTATGAATTTAGCTTCTTCCTATCTTTTAAGTGTGTAAAAAGAAAGAAAAAGGTTTATGTAGTCTGGTAAGAGCTAAAGAGGGTGCAGACTGTTCCACTCTTGAAAAGCATAAGGAGTGAAGTTTGGGTGTGTTTTAGTTGTGGTGTTTTTCTCTGTTTGTGTCCAGTTGTGCAGAGCACTAATCATTGCAGTGATGACTTCTTGAATGTAGTGGTACTGACTGGCAAGTTCTTACCTGGATTTCCATCCAGACTTCTCAGAGCGTGTTTTGAATGTGCAATACCTCTCTACCCTGGAGATCAGAGAGGAGAAATCCTGGCATCATCCATTTGCAGATGATTCTTTGAAATTAGTCTGTCCTGGAACATGTCTACTAGATGGCATTTGCCTTACCTCTTTCTGGTGCAGCTCTTTTCTTAACAAGAGTTTGGCAGAAAAATGCTTTGGTTGGTACTCTAGTAAGCATTCTGTGGTGAAAGTCTCTCTGAATTCCAGTGTTGTGAATTCCTCCTTGGAGGAAGAAAACCAGGATTTTGTGCAAGTGGCCTGCTTTGCCAGTGTTTTTGGGCTGAAATTGTGTTAATTTTCCTGAAAAGTGTATAATGAATGTTGTTCTATTTCAGTTGCAGCAATTGTTGACAGACCTTCCCCATGATATGCTGGAGGACAGTGGAGACCAACTCTCCAGTTACTCAGACTGTAGCATCCAGGACACTGAGGATCAGTAAGGCATTTGGCACCATCTTTTTATTATTTATGTTGTGCTTTTAAGAATAGAGCAAAGTCTGAGTTGAGGAGGTGTGTAAAAGTAATCCCAATAAAAGGGGAGTTGCAGTGCAATTTGCAATAAATTAGATGTGCCTTAATTTAAGAGAAGAAGTTTGTTTTTTCCCTGAAGTTATTAGTACATGGTTAAGCTGCTTGTGTCTGTCTAGGTCACATGAGCCTGGGAAGCTTGATGGAAGGTGGAAGGATCATCCACTGATCAGTGATCCTCCAAATGTAAGTTTGTATGAGCAGGGATGTAATTGCTGCTTGTTTATAATAACATGCTGAATGTTGTTTAAATTAATTAGGGAATTACATGTAGGTGAAGTGTTTTGGTGTTCATTTGAAATATTTCTAACTTGAGGGCTGGTAACCTCAGGAAGAGGTAGGGTGGGGTGAAATCTGAGTTTTGAGAGAGCAATTCTAAACCTCATATCCATTCATAGGGCTATGAACAAGGACAAAATCTGTACCCTG